ATGATTAGCTTATTAGTGTGTTGAGAAAGGAAGTTTCATCATCATCAAAGCCAACTTGAGTATGGCATCAACTTTCATATAAAAAGTCCTTTTTGATATTTTTTAGATTACAAATTCTAAAAAAAAAGAAGAAAAATAAAAGGGGAATCATTTCCTCTATTCAAGATCTTCACAATCTTTTCCCATGTTTTCCTGTGATTTGGAAAATCTTATTTTTTTTAATATATTAATTGATATTTTTGAGTTTTTGGTACAAATTTTACTCTTGATTTTGACTCTTGATTTTGACTCGTGGGAGAGTTTTTTTCCCTCTCTTTTCTTGTACAACAACACTACGAAAGGATAATTAGGTATTCGAACTCACGACTTTTTGGTGGAAGATAAGTGGCTCAACCAGTTCAGTTAAGTTCAGATTACGTGAAATAGCTTTTCTTATTATTCATTTACACGTGAATTGAGACCGCTCCAAGATTTAATTATCTATCACTATGTTGTTTGTTCAAATTTCATACTTCACTTTATATCTTCCAAAGAAAAAAGAAAGAAATGATTGAGTTTCAATTATTTAAAAGATTTATGACTATACTTGGGCTATTGTTTGTGCGTGTGTTTTTTCTTCTATATTGATTTTTTTAAAACTAAGTTTAGGCATTTTAGTATTATTTTTTAGCGTTTTTTCATCTACTTAATTTGTGACTAGGTTTGAGTATTTTTTTAAGTTAAATTTTTGTATTTTTTGATCGTTCATTTTGATCCATGTATTTTTAAAAAGTAACTGTTGTGGTTCATTTATTTATTTATTTTATCTCCTTCTTTGAATTCAACACAACACTATACTAATTTTCTGAAATGTAGTCATAGTTTTGTATTAAAATATTTTATATTGTGTATAAAATTTGTGTTAAAATTTTGTAAATAGAGATTAAAATGGTAACTTTTCAAAAGTAGAAAGAACCAAAGCAAACGTTTTGAAATTACAAGACTAAAATGAAAAAAACGAAAATACAGGGATCAATATGAGCAAATTTAAAAGTATAGGGACCAAGATAGAACAATTCGAAAGTAGGAACCATAATGAAATTACAGAAACTAAAATATGATGATATTATGATGCCTTATCATTTGAGCTATGTTCGGATTGATTGATGACACAATATACAAATTAAATATGTAATTTTATTGTATTTATATAATGGTAAATCTATTTAAGTTACATCGACTTGTTAAGAATATATCATAAAAAAAAATGGAAGTTTTAAATTTCCAACCTGACATCGAACTTTAAAAAAAATATGTGTCGAAAAATACAGAAAAAATGGTTGAAAAACTAATAGAATTGAATGGATAAAAATAGTAATGACAAGGACTTATAATTTATTTGATAAAGTGAGAACTTTTTTTTTTTAATTAATGTTTAAATACATTAGTAACCTTCTTATAATTCAAATGTGAAATGTCAAATCTCATGTGTAATGTTATATTCTTTTAAAAAATCATTATTTTAATCATTTCTTTTTCATGAATAATTGCTGCAAAACTATTTAATATTTTATCCATGCTTCCACATTTTTTGTGTCTTTTGAGTAATTTAATGGTTTATATATATATATAAAAGATATTAGGATACACTGAAAATACAATAAAATACCTTCATTTTTATTGTTCTTTGTTTAAATTTTTTTTTTTGGAAATTATCATGTAAAAGATTTCATAAATCAGAAAAAAGAAGTGTTCTTAAACATTAAATATATTTTTAAATAAAATGCAGCATCTGAACAACTCAAAATTACCCATTTAATTCCATTTAAATACAAAATTAATTTAATTGTTAATTATTCTTCTTTTTCCCCCTCAAATGATTGTTATTTCAATTTAGTCCTTGAATGAATCACCATAAATATTTCAAGTTTCTTTTTCTCATCTTTTTGGAGGAAAAAGGTTGCATAGTTTATAGATGCTGACACCTTTTTTAATGATGAAGAATAAAGTTTAATTGACATGACAAATTAAATTTCTTTTGAATTAACACATCAATTTGTCATTAATTTTATTGTCTATGTTTTTTTTATATTAATATTTTTCTTTTAGATGAAAAAGACTTCAAAAGCTTTGCCCACTCCCAAATCAATTTGAGGCTATGGTTTTGTTTGGAATCTAGGTGCTCATTTGAAAATTAGTTTCAAAATAGTTTTTTTTTAGAACAAAATATCAATAACAAATTAATTCATTTTTTTCACAAATCATATTGGCCACAGCTTTCAGGGAAAATTGAAATAGAAAAATATTAAAAAAAAAACAAATAAGTTAAATTATCATTTAAAAACCTTATAAGTCATATATGGGTGTCAACTTGGTTTCTATGGTTTAAAAATTTTTAATTTGGTCATATTATTTAGTCTCTATGACACATTTTCTTTGAACATAATTACAAAGAGAGATAATGACATGACATCCATATAAAGTGTGCTACGTAAATATACCAATAATATTGTAAATATAGATAAATAAAATTGACAAGATAATCTCTAAAAGGTGAAAAAAGAAAACTTTAATAATTATTAAAAAAAAAAAAGGTAAAAACCACTTCTGAATTATAATTGCACTATTTAAATTTGTTGGGATCAATTGCCCTCTTTCCTTCCAAATTTACGAAATTATTACAATTAAATACTACCATTATAACTCTACGGGATTATTTTTTAGTTCAAGAATTATGTGATAGATTTAACTATCCACTTGAAAAAATTTAACTTGTTACTATTAAACTTCTATGTTTTCTAAATATATCCTCAAACTTATAAAATTGTTACAATTAAATCCAATCATTGAAAAAATTAATGGGGGTGTTAAAAAAATTGACAATGTAAAACCCGAACAACGTAACTTATACTATTTAAGTAGGTTTGAAAATTAATTTGGTTAGATTGGGTTCATTTTTCTAAACCCAATTGAATTGGTTAAGTTGTTGGGTCCATCAAGTTGAATAGATTAGACTCGACTTGACTCAACTTAACCACGATGATATATAGTCATAGATTTTTATAAATTTATTGTTTGGATTATATAAATATGCAACTTGAATGATTGGGTTCGGTCTAAAATACCATAAAATCGAATAACCTGTGGACACCCTTAAACTATATAACATTGGAGTTTAATTGCAATAATTTTATAATTTTTGAAGAGTAATTGCTCAAATTACAAACCATGAGTACAATTTTTTTTCCTAATAAATGCGACCTAAAGCTAAAAGAATGTACATGAAATTTCCAATTAACCACATGGGGAGTTAATAATTACAAGATACTCGTGAACTTTTAGTTATTTGTACTAAATAATAATAATAATAATAATAGTTACAAGATACTTGAGAAAAATAAAGTATCAAATTCTAGGTAGGCTTCTTTATAGCCCAAATCCGAGAGGTACCAAAAGATCCAATTCCTTCACTAAATAAAGTCAAATTTTCCTAGTCCACAAATATTTTTTAAGAGTAATATTATTAAGTTTTATTTATTCGTTAGTATAATAAGCGAAAGGAAGAATTTGAACTCATGACCCATTGATGAGAAATAAGTGTCGATTACAGTTGAGTTAAATTCAGGTCCACAATTTGTGAGTAAGTTGTTATGAAGTATATCATTACCTACATAATTGGGTTGGGTTCTATTGGTTGACCATAATTTCAATTTAATCCTTTTAATATTTTAAAAGCAAATGGTCCAAGGTAAATTCTAAAATATTTATAGAGAATTCGGGTTCAAACTATAGTGGTTATTTACCTAGTTGTCCTATGAGATTAGTCGAGTTTTAATCAAACCAACCATAGAGATCACATGATCACTTTCAAAATCATATAAAACCAAATAAAAACCAAGCCCAAAATATGAAAAACTAAATTAAAAATTTTTAAACCACAAAATTAAAACTAAGCCCAAACCATACGAACCAAATTTATAATTTAAATATAATAAATATTAGAATGTTACATCGTGAATATGACGACCATGATATTATTTCTCAATTTTTTTAACATACAGACAGATTCCTTTTTTTTTTCTTTTCAATTTCCATATGAAATCGATTAGTTTAAACAACGTCGACGTGATCTTTCAATTGATCAAAATATCGTGGAAATAGTGAGACGTTGGTGTCATCAAGTGAGTAACAATAACGTCAAAAATTGAAAAAATGTCTAACTAACTAAGCTGTTAAGACATATATCCTGGACCAAAAGTTTGAGTATATTTCAAACCCCATCCCACAAGTCTTGAACTAAAAAAAGTGGGTAGTAATAACAATAATAATAATGAAAATGATATGAGGGCAATGTGGAAAATAGGGGGAAAATGGGGGTTAAGTTTTAAAATAATGACATTTTAAAAAGAAATTACAAAAATAATGGTAATTTAAAAATAATAATTAAATAAATGTAAATTAAATAAATAAATACAAAAGTAACTTAGGTTTTTGAAACTATTGACAAAAATAGGTTATGCCAAAAGAGGGGTCAAAATTCGCATACAATGGACGCTACTCCCGTGCAACGTGTATTTTCTATGTGGCGGGTGGATTGTCGTTGACGTGGAAGTCGCGTACGATGGACGCGACTTCCAAACGAAAGTCGCAGGCGATGCATGCGACTTCCAAACGGAGGTCGTAGGCGATGTACGCGACTTCCTCTTATTGAAGTCGCATGCAATGCACGCGACTTCCACATATTTTCCTTTTTTTTTTTCCACTGAAGTCGTAGCCGTTGGCTACAGGTGGAGCCACGTCAAACTGAAGTTGGCTGCGACTTCAGTGAAATCGCGGTCTAGGATCACGATTTCGTCCTAAATCGCAGTCGACGGCGCTGCGATTTACCTACCCTATTTTTTGAATCAGTTTGGACCCTAGTCTACCTTTGTCATTTGTTTTTAAAAAGTAATTATTTAAAAAAAAAATCCAAAAATGGGTGGCAAACAATAATGCATAAATGTGAGGAGCTTTTGTAACATTATCCTCTTCTCATCAGTTCTGAATCTTGAGGCTTCACCTATGGAGGGAGCTCTACAAAAGCACTTCCACACCTGCAATTCAATTCTTTATTCCAATTCTATCCTTTACCCTGGTATTTATCCAAACACACCCAATTTTCTTTTTTCTGCTTTTTGACTGAGGGCATCAATGGTATTTTTCTTTTTTTGGGTGCTTAGTTAGAAGAGAATTAGTAGGAGGAGGGAAGAAGCATCATCATAATTTGGGAGAAAAAAGATCAGGTGGGTCAAAGTGCTTTTTGGGTATCTCTGCTTCTGCTTCCAAAAATCAACAACAAATCAAGGTTGTCTTCTTTCCCTTCATTCTCCTTTTAGAAATTTAGATTAATTTAAAATTTTCCATCTCATAAATTTATGCTAATTTTTCGATGACATGTCTTTTGAAAAGAAAAAACAATTCTCGATGAGGTAGAATTGTCTTGATGCGACGTCTTAAATAAGAAGATTGGAAAGAATCCAACATAATGCTTAAATAGAGTTCTCTAGTGAAGGAACTCACAGAAGGCAGAGGTTTTTAAATTTAGCCTATAAGTAATTTTGGAAGAAAATTAGTTAAATCTTTTTTCTAAATACTTTATGTTTACTTGTAGAATTTCTTAAAGCCACTTTTGATGATTGAAAACTTTTAAAAGTGGCTTGTTATTGACAAAGGTTAGAATTGTTGACCTTTCTTATATAGAGCAAAACATAACGAGTACGAAATTTCGAACACTCGTAATGGAATCTGAAACTTTCCTAAATAAACCATAAGTTGTACGGTACGTTTGAATTTCAACCAGACTCGAACTCGTTTATAGGTACATGCAAGTAGAAGATCGAGAAGGGGAAATCAAAGTAGTGATACTTATGTAGTTTTGGAGCCTGGAGAAGATGAGAAGTTTGTTTCAGAAGAAGAATTGGAAGCCATTTTGAAGGGTTGGCTGCAAAATTGGGCAGGGCCTCTTCCACCTGATCTCTCACGCTTTGAATCCATTGAGGAAGCTGTTTCTTTCTTGCTCAAGTCCGTTTGTGAACTCGAAATCGATGGAGATGTTGGCTCTATCCAATGGTATCAAGTCCGTCTCGAGTGACTCGACCGTCCTAATGTATTTTGCTTTGTTTTCGACTTCAAATCTCCTTACTTTTTCCGGGTGTATAATCATCTATTAGCTTAAAATTTTGAATTTAGTGATAGTTAACTTAGCGATAGAGAGCACGGAAGTCTTCTTTAAAGTAATTTTTATGGTTACAAATTATCAAGCTTTGCTTCGTTCTTGATTTCAAATGTCATTACTTTTTCGGGTGTTAACATCATTTGCAATTATAATCGTCTATTAACTTAAAGTTTTGAGTTCGATAATAATTTAACTTAAACGCTAGAGGGTAGGAACGTCTTCCTGTGTCAACAATAAAAGTAACTTTTATGGTTACAAATTGATCATGGTCAAAAACTCCCCACAATACAGATGGAAAGAAATAATGACAATAACAGGAAATTACAATAAAAACCTTGGAATTACAATTTACTAGAGCTAGAACACTGATTTTTGCATCACAATCTGAGTGAGGCAAATCCTTTGCAAAGAAAAGGAAAAGAATCCATGAAATTTGAGGCCCATCATAACCATTCATTTCATTCACCTTGATAGACAAGACTCATCTCTCGGATTCTCAACTCGTGCATCTGAATAAAAATTAGAAATAAAAATTAAATCATTACTTCAACGAAAGTACATAGACTAATATTCTTTTTAATAACATGAACTTCAGTAGTAATTGACATATTTATCGGACCAAATAGATCATAAATTTGAATTCCTCTACCTCCACTTACTGTATTAAAAAAAAAGTATTTTTACGATATTTTTTCAATCTCGACAAAGTAACCATTACTTTCCCGAGAATAGAATTGAAAAATGATGAGAATAAATGGAATGAAAAACATATCACAAAATTAGGAGTTTAAAGGATTAACCTTGGAAGGCACAGCCCCTTTCCTGGTTCTGGCAAGAAGCCCTTTGCTGATCGGAGACATCATTAAATCCGTCGGACTCATATACCTAAACCAATAAATCAAATTTTTTTGATTCAAAATTTCCATTCTTTTTTTAAATTTCGAACTAAAAATTGACAGTTTTAAATAATTACCTTTCTGGGTATTTGAATGCTTTTGGCACTTTCAGCCGATTTGGGGTACCATTTTTGGGCAATTCAATGCCGGAAAATTTCACTTTTCCGGCCGGATTCGGGCTCTTCGGCACCTTCAGACGATCCATCGACCCATTTTTAGGGACCAAAATTCGTTTCTTCTCTGTTTCATCCTCTGCTTTCTCAACTGGGGTTGCCGTTTTCATCTCGGAATTTGACTTTTCCGATTGGTTTTGGCTTCTGGCCTTCTCCTTTTTGGGCGTTTCAAATTCTGGGGTCGCCGGAGTTTCGCCGGCGGGAGTTAATTTTCCGATCTGGGCTGGGCTCTCCGGGTGCTTGAGGAGACCGTCGCCGTCGCCGGCGCCGGAAATTTCTGGCTGTTGGTCTGAGATTGTAAGTTTGGACTCGAAATCTGTACATTCCGACTGATTTGGGCTGCTGGGAATCGATGCTTGAATCGGAATCTCCATTGATGAGCTGAGAAAAAAAGAAAAACAGATTTAAAATGGGCAATCTTCGACATAAAAGGGAAGAGGGGGAAAGAAAAAAGGCACAAAAATAACTCAAATAACCTTTTGAACTGGAAGAAGAAGAAGAGTACGAAATATTGTGGAGTGAATTTGAGTGGAAATTGGATTAGTTTTTGAACTTTGTTGTGAGATTTATTTATTGGAAAAACAGAGGAGGAAGAATCCGTTATGGAGAGTGAACGTTGGAGAGTAAGAAGGAAACAAACAAAAAGATAAAAAAAAAAAAAAAAAAATTCCAACGGTCGAATTTTAGCCGAAAGGGATATGTTTTTGTTTTTACCATTTTCAGGATTTCAAAATAAAGTGTAATTGGAGAACTGATGATGATGGGCCGGGCTATCTTCCAGAAGGCCCAAATCGGCCCAATACCGATCTAAAAACTCGACCCATTGTCAACACGAACTTAACTTAGGATTAATTTTGTAGAGCTCAGGGATTCAATCTCTAGTCCCCACATTTATTGTACTAAAAAAAATTAAAGTACGCATTTAATATAATCCTACATTATTGTAAGTTAGGGTGGGTCAATTCAATTCAAATGTATCGAATTAATCCTACAAGCCAATTTAATCCAAATTAATTCTCAAGCAAAATTTGAGTCTGAGTTACTAAATTTCCATTTTTCCCAAATAGTCAGCTTTTTTAGTGCCTCTATAAATAAGATTCAAAATGTCAGAGTTTCAATTTTTACACGGATGACAATGTAATATCAATAAAATGTTGATGCGAATATTTATTGAAAATTATAAGAATAAAAAATTACATAACAAATAAATACTTCACCTTTTAAAATAAGTTAAAGATAATTAATATTTATAATATGTCCATATTAGTAATATTTTGTTAAATTTTTTCCAATACTATAAATCTTGATGTCGAATCTATAGATATATAAAAATACCGACCCACCACGAAAACTTAATATGCTATGATAAGTATTTTTAATTCAAGTAATTAATGGTCAAACCGAGATAGTTTAGGCATCTGTCTCTAACCTCCAACCCCACAATGTAAACGGGAGATTTTGATTTTAAAAGTAGAGGAAAAAATGGAACAAATAGTTAAAAAAATAAATGGAAGATTTTAAATAGATAAGTATTTTCACGTGAGTGACTTATTAAAAAAATTTTAAAAGTAAGTTCTTGAACAAGTGAAAATATCTCATTAGCTTAAAAATATTTAAATCATGGCATCAAATTTTCTAAAAACCAAATTCAAGGTTTTAAATATCAATATTGATAGAAATGTCGATGTCTCAATTTCATGAAAATATCGATAAAATGTCGATGTCGATGAATATTTCTCTAAAAGTTAAAATATTAAAAAATCGTAAAAAATATTTAAATTAACAAATAAAGATTTTTCTATTTCTAAATTAGTTAAAAATAATTAATATTAATATTATGTATATATTAGTGACATTTTATTGATATTTTTCATATTTTATCGATTTTCTTCTACTATGATGAAAATGTCGATTTACCCATCATGTCGATGTCGGATCCATGGAAACATGGATATGTCGATGAAAATATTGATATATCGATGGATATTTAGAACCATAATCAAATTCAAATATGAAATCGATTTACCGATCATGTCAATATCGAACCTATAAAAATATAGATATGTCGATAGAAATATCCATGTATGGATAGATGGTTAGGACATGATCAAATCCAAAATATGAAGGGTCACTAATTGCAACACTGATATCAATGCAAACTGCTGCCTTCAGAAACTCAGTCCCTTCCTTTTCAATTTCTTAACTTCCCATTATTCAAACCAGGAAATTGTCTCACTTTAAAGGACATTTTTTTTTTCTTTTTTCTTTTTCCAAAGAAATTTAATATCTCTGTCAGATTTCTATACCAAAACTGGATCTTTTTGTTCGTCACCAAAAGATACACTCTGAAATTTCAATATTTTGCCCTTTTCATTCCTTTAAAACTTAACAATTTAATTTCTATACTTCAAAATTTGTAGCAATTTAATTCGTAAACTCTACTCCCGTTTGGTTTATTCATGAATTTTAGACCACATAGTCTAAATTATTAAAATAATAAATTATTGGTTTGATAAAAGTTTAGCTATTTGGAACCAAATAGGGTTTTTAACCATTTTTTTACTATTTATTATATTTAATCTTAAATTTTGATATAAAGATATTTATTATATTTAAATAATTTAATTTTTTAAAAAAATAATCATCATGATTTCTAAATTTTTAAAAGGTTTATTTTGATCATTAAAATTTTTATTATATTATTCGTATCCCTAATATTTGCGTACCCAATATCTAAGCCTAATAAGGCTCTATTACATGCCCAGGTCAATGTTGCTGATATACATTCGAAGTGATGTATTTATCTATCTTTCAAACCATTAATGACAAAATAATTATCAGGGGTTAGGGTTAATAAAGTTCTTTTGTTAGAAAAATAAATTTAGAGTCTAAAATAAACTTTTTGAAATTTCATAAGCCAAAATATAACGAATCTAAAATTTAGGAGTGGAAACAAAATAATCCTGCATATCAAAATGGGAAAGAATAACATTATCTTATTTTTTTAATTGTTAATGTTAGTTTCCAAAATTCCAATATATATACTGATGGAATGATATAATGCGCAAACTCAACCGATAAGAACTCATCCTCACATGTTGTACTAAAAAAAAATGATAAAGAAAAATAAAAAAGAATGTAATAATGTTATTAAATTAATATGAGCAAAAAGAAGGATCGAGCTATCCTACCAAGACCTTTCTTTGTAGGTCACAAATTTAAATTTCTTTCTCCTGCATTTGTAATATAATATTTTAAAAGTGATTTAGAAGTAATTTTCTAATATTCAATTTTCATTGTTAATAGTGAAATAGCAAACTCTAGAGATCAATACATAAGAATAACTTTCTACACTTTTAAACATACTACAAATATATATTTCTCTGAAAACAAATAAAATTTCGAACATCCTTAAGGCATCATTTAATTAATTTAACTATACTTGTCCTTTGGTTCATTTTCTAAAGTACGAAATAAAAAAATAGTTATTTAATTCAATTTAAACCGATATGGTTGTTATGAGCACCTGTCGATTACCATTAAGCTATGCTCATGTTGGCGCTTTTGGTACTTAGATATAAGAAATAAATGCATGTTTCAAAAAGATAAAAAGAAATAGGAGGTCAAGAATAAGCTTTCATAGTTATTGAAAAAAAAAAAAGATTTAAATACTTTTTGGTCCCTAAACTTTGAACTTTGGTTTATTGGGTCTCTACTTTCAAAATGTCAATTTCGGTTCCGGTATATTTTGTTCATTTTAGTATATATATCTTCAAACGTCTTGATCTATGTACTTTAAAAAAGTAACCATTTTGATTTCTATTTGCAAACCTTTTAATACAAATTTATGGCTTCGTGGTTATGCTAAAGTTTTGACAAAAAGAATGGTTGAAAATGAAAAGTAAAAGACCAAAATGATACTTTTAACGTTTTGAAAGTACCTAGATTGAAATGAATTAAAGTCGAAAACAAGGAGACGGGTAGTATTTAAAGTAAAATAATAATATGTATTAGTAGGGCAAAGAAATGGGAGGGAGAAAAGTGGGAGTAAATAAGGTATTTATGGCATAGAGTAGGATAGATAAGAAAGCAAAGTGAGTAGTTGGAGCTTGGAAGTTTGTCAGATTCCCATGGAGAGAACAACATCTCAGCCCACTTTTCATTCACTTATTAAATGCCTCTCTCTTTTCATTCAATATCATCTATTTCCCTTTTCCAATGCCTATAATATCATCTTTAATTTTGTGTGGCTTTGGAAAATAGTTTAACCCAAGGTCAAATCTCAATAAAAATAAAAAAAAAAATATATATATATATATTTTAAGGGAAATTATATATATTGGAAAAAAAAAGAAATAGGGACTAAGACACTACTAGGAAAATGGGAGAGAGTTCACTTATTGGTAGTATTATTATATGCTATAAAAAACAAGTTGTTCGATTAAAGAGTCGATGTGAGAGTTCAAATACTATAATAATGCTTAGATCGATCAATATTCATGTAGTTCTATCTCAAAATTAATTGGTAATAAGATGAGTAGCTCACTTATATTATAAATCACTTGTTAAGCCTCATATCTTTTCAAATGTAACATGCCCCTTTGAGATGGTACCTCTTTTGCGCTACATTTTTAGACTCTGATATCATAATAATATTTATAGAGATGAGAGTAGTAGTTTGCTTATATTATAAACTTTTGTTAGATCATTTATCTTTTCAAATGTAGGATCCTTTAACAACTTCAATCTGATGTTTGTTGAAGCAACTTCAGTAATCAAGCTATGGAGTTTTATTTGTGGTAGCACGAAAGGAAGAAGTCGTGCAAGTTGAAAGCTCAACTCTCTATCCCGCATCAAAACCATTTGATGGGGCGCCATGACACTTCCATGAGTGCCAAAATAAAATCTTTGTTCAGCCATCAATTCTTCTTTGGCTCACATGTTCTTATTTTTATCAAAACTCATACTTATTACAACATCTAAAAACAGAAAAGATTTAAAAAGGAGAAAAAGGAAGAAACAAACAAAAGAAAAGATTTTGTTGGAAGTTCCCAATTGGGAAAAAGTATCGCAACTTTTCACCATCAAACAACAAAAGATACATAGATTAATGAGTAGTGGAATCAGCTTTGCCAAAAAAGAAACAGCAACAAGAGAATTTTTGTCCCAAAAGAAAATTTGGTTTTTTAATT